ACAAGAAAGAATAAACAACCTATGGGCCATTCGGCCCATCTTCTCTACAGAAGAAAGATAAGGAAAAGAGGTGGTCTCTGAGGAAACAATTGGAGGATATTCTGTTTAAAGAGGAGATTATCTAGAGACAAATCTAGAGATAATTGGCTTAAGAAGTGAAACAGGAACACCAAATTCTTTCATGCTATAGCAAATTGAAGGAGGAAAAATCATATTTCAAAATTGGGGGTGGATGATGCAACTCACACTCAACAAAATGACATTGTTCAAGTCTTTGTGGATCACTTTAAACCCATTTTCAAGAGATTTTTCAATTATAGAGTGTGGCTTGATGGGTTGGAGTGCCCTAAATTATCTGATGATTCTAAGAATTGGCCGGAAAGGAGTTTCAAGTTAGAGGAAATAAAGGACACAGTTTTCTCTATGGATAGATCTTTTTATATAAGCAACAGAAATAAATATATTAATGGAGAGAGAAAACCACTCAGCTTGACATATCTAAAGCACCAAGTCTGAATGGTTTCACTATGGCCTTCCATCAAGATCATTGGGATATACTGAAAGATGACACTTAGAAGGTTTTAATGAATTCTTTGGGAGAGGAGTGATAAACCAGGGGCCCAATTCCACTTTCGTTGCTTTGATCCCAAAGAAAGTTGATGTTGTGCACCCAAAAGGGGTGTTTGTAAAAGATAGGGAAATCATTCAAATCTTAATTTCAAATGAAAGTTTTGAGGAGATGAAAAGGGTTGAAGGGTTTTGTTTGTAAGTGTTGAGGAGATGACTTGGTTGATTGGGGTTTTCTGTTGGAAGTAATGAAAAATTTTGGATTTGGTGACACATGGTATAAATGGATTCTAGGATTAGTAGACTTCTCTTGTCATTATTCAAACTTGGTGAATGGAATGGATCATTTCCCATCCCTTAGAGAACTATGGCAAGGGGACCCCCTCTCTCCCTTTCTCTTAATTTTCTAGGGCAGATTCTAGAGATATAGTAAGGGGATGGAGAGTTGGCAGAGATGGGATACCACTTACATACCTACAATTCTATTATGCGAAGGAGGTGACTTTAAGTGGGTGAGGAACTTGGAGCTAATTGTACAAGTTTTTGAGCAAATGTCCATTTGAAAGTCAACTTTGATAAAAGCTGTATTGTGAGATTGAATATAGAGGAGATTTCAAAGGGAGCAGAAATATTGGGGTGTGTGGTTTCTTAATGGCCTATGAGCTATTTAGGTTTACCATTGGTGGACAACCCGAGAGAGCAATTTCTAGAAAATGTGACTAAGAGATACACGAAGACATTGGCTACTTGGAAGAAAAGTTATTTATCTTTGGTAGGTAGGATCACCCTAATTAGGTCTACATTAGCCAATTTGCCTATTTATTTTCTGTCTATAGTAATTCCAAAAGGGGCTAGTAGAAGACTAAAAAAGCTAATGAGGGATTTTTCATAGGAGCTAGTGGAGGAGAAAAATGATCATAAAGTTGGCAAGTGGTTAGTAGAAGTACGAAGTTTGGTAGTTTAGAACTTGGGAACATTCAAGAGAAGAATGTTGCTTTGTTGGGTAAGTGGTTGTGAAGATTGCCAATTGATAGAGATAAATTTTGGGCAAAAGTGATAATTAGCACTTACGGGTTTGTGGCTGACGGTTGGGACTGCTAGAATTCTGGCTAGGGATACAAGATCTTCTCCCTAGAAGTCCATTCATGCCATCCTATCTTCCTGTTCACCACATATCAGGTATAGCCTTTGTTTTGGAAATCTTGTTAAATTTTGGAAACATGTTTGGTTGGGTGGGCAATTCATCCTAAAGGAATAATTCCCCTCTCTACATCCCCTTTTCAACTGCAAGGATTAACCAATTTCTTCTTTCTTGGTTCCTTCTAACTCAAGGTCTAGCTTTGATTGAGACTTGTGCTTTAGGAGAGGCCTTCAAGACTCTGAAGTAAGTAGTGTCATGACTTTGCTCCAAGGTCTTGAAGGGGTTTTCTTGGATCCTTCAAAAAGAGAGCCATATTTGGACTCTTTCTTCTTCTGGTTCCTTTATTTGTGCCTCCTTTTAGTCCTTAATTCAACCTAGTGATAGCCTTGGTTGGCTTTTTTCTGTTAAGGAGGTTTGAAGTAAGCCTATTCTGCACAGGATAGGAGGTTTCTACTAGAAAGCTTTTCTGGAAAGAATAACACTTGTGATTTACACCAAAGAAAAATATCTAATTGATGCTTATCCTCTCATTGGTGCCTTCTTTGTAAGGATAATGGTGAGACTTGCTATCACTTATTAACCTCCTGCCCTTTTGTTTCCTCAATTTGGGAATGTTTTTTCTTTGGTTGGGTGCAAGTGAAACGCCCCACCAAATCTACAAAGCTTGTTTACCTTTACCTTCCTCAGTTGGTCGAAGAAGAGGGGAAGAATTTTACAGAGGTATACAAGAGTGGTTGTTTGTTGGACAATTTGGGAAGAGAGGAATCAAAGAGTTTTCTCAAAAAAGGAGAGAAGTAGGGTTGCTTTAATTGAAGCTATCACTATCAAGGTGGTCCATTGGCTGAAATCCTTGAAACTTTTCGAGGACATCCCTACTGTTGACTTGATTAGAAAATGAAAGGAAGTGGCTGATTCAGTCTACCTCACAGCTGCTGAGTGAGCTAGAGGCCAAACTTCAATCGGTAAAAGGTCTACAAATTACCTGGTGGGTAACTTCCAAAAAGGAAGCAACTAAAAATCAGATGTTTATGTGACTGTTGTAAGTGCTTTTTTGATAAGTAAGATTTATTAGACTTTAAGATAAGACTTTACAAGCATCCTTTAGAGAGGCATGTGATGCCACCTCTCTATAAAAAGCAAAGAGCAAAGAAAATTACAATGGAGCCCAAAACAATACATCCCTATTCACCCCTTGCTTAGCCAAAGTATCAGCCATCCCATTTGCAGATCTCCTCACCCACTGTATCCTGAGATTCATATTCCTAGTAAGCCACTTAAACTTCTCCATTTCATTTCTGTAGCACCAGGTTATAGAGTACAGGTCCTTTAGCCAGCCAACCACCACTTTTGAATCCCCTTCTATCACCAAGTTTGCTAACTGTAACTCATTGGCAATCTGCACCCTTTGTAATGCTACCAGCAACTCTGCTTTGAGAGAGTCACCCAAGCCCACAGGGCTGGAAAACAAGGCTATAAGTTTACCTTCTGAATCTCTCAATACCCCTCCTATACCCGAGAGGCCTAGATTTCCTTGGCTGCTCCCATCGAAATTCAGTTTAACAAAGCCTTCCATTAGAGGTGACCATTGCATCTCCACAAATTCCTTTCTTGAAGAGCTTTTTGCAATTACTTCCCAATTCCTCCAAACATCATCAATGGAGAATTGGGAGAACAACTCCAAAGTCCTCACCCAATAGACCACCCTGACCACTGCACAATCCCTAACAGCTTCTTTACTTCTCTCTTTACCTGAGAAGATCCTAGCATTCCTTTCTTCCCGTATAGTCCACACCACAGCTGCTCTAACACATCTCCACATTATTCTTCCCCTTTTTTTGGGCCACGAAAACAAAGAAGGGTTGAATAGCATATTGACCTCCGATGGAGAAGTCCACCTACAACCAAACAAAGAGAAAAACCAAATCCAAATCTCTGCAACAAGAGGACAAGAGATCAGTAGGTGATAGCAACTCTCATTATTGGATTTACACAGTATGTACCAATTAGGAGAGAGACAAGAATTAGGCCTTTTCTTTTGTAACATATCCATAGTATTAACCTTCCCATGCACTACTTCCCAACAAAAAGCTCTTACTTTGTAAGGAATGGGTCTGCACCAGAATTCTTTAAAAGGAAAGGACGGAGGGTCTGGAAAGATGCACAAAGTCTTAAACAAAGAGGCACAAGAGAATAAACCCTTAGGATGGGGGGCCCCAAATACACATATCAGGTTTATCAGGGTCTAAATTGACATTTTGAAGTATTTGTAAAAGGTCCGAACAAGCTAAAACTTCACTGTCTCTTAGACCTCTCTGAAAACCAAAGTCCCAATTGGGGCCCACAGGGAGTAAGGGAGGAACAATAAATTTAGACGCACATTCATTTTTATACAGGGATACCAAATATAAGGTAGGAAAGAGATCCTTCAGCGGACTACAGCCAACCCAAGTATCCTCCCAAAATTTAACAGAAGCCCCAGAGCAAACATCATACCTGACAAACCGAAGTAGAAAAGGCAAAGTGCGATGAATGGCTTTCCACGGAGAGGCCAATGTGGCCCTGTTAGATACTCTTGCATCCCAACCTCCCATTTATGCTTGCTATTATTTTATGCCACAAACTCTCTCTTTCCCCCAACCATCTCCAAACCCATTTTCCTAATAGAGCCAAGTTCATTTTATCTATATTTCCAATTTCTAAGCCACCCTCTTGTTTGTAGACTTCTACACACAACCTCCCATTTAATCAAATGATCTTTCTTTCCATCACCTGGATCCCATAGGAAATCTCTCATTACCTTCTCAACCTTTTTAGCCTCCTTTTGGGGAATCCTAAATACTGACAGAAAATAAATTGGTAGATTGGCCAAAGTGGATTTAATCAAAGTAATTTTTCCTCCCAAAGACATAACTTCTCTTCCAAGCTGCCAACTTTTTTGCACACCTCTCAATAATTGGATTCCAAAACCTGTTTTCTCTAGGGTTTGCTCCTAAAGGGAGGCCAAGGTAGGTTTGTAAAGTGGGGCATCTAGAGTGGGCATGCTGAAAAGTATACTTTTATTATTCTTTAATAAAATTTCCAAATCTATCAGGAAAAAAAAAAAAAAAAAACTGCCCTACATCACCCTAGAGGTTTAGTTAGTACCCAACAACTATTGTAAGATAATGTTTAATCTGTACCATAAGTGTAGTACCCCAAGAAAACCTGAAGTAAAAATAAAACCATAGAAACCATGTATTATTCCCAGACACCAATCCAAAAGAAACAACATATGAAGTTAAAATCTGACTACCTGGCCAAAAAATAAGGACTCCTCAATTTGATGAGTCAACTTCAAGCACACATTGATAGAAATGCCAGACAATAGTGACATTGGCAATGGGCTTGATTCTCTCATTGCCATTACTCTCTCACCAGAAGGTACATTTGATCCTGGTATTAACTCTGTAACTCCAGCAGAGGTTAACCAATTCAACACTGCTTCAGAAGCAGCTTGTGCCATGGTATGTGAAAGAACCCAAAACATTCCAATTGATCTGTCATCCAAATTCATATAATCCAACATACGCTCTCCTGAAATAAGACCCAAAACCTGTTATGGATATATTGGTCTGAACCTCATGTAGACAGATTCAAAAGTTTAGATTGCAAGTTCAAATTGAAGTTTAAATTCTCAACCTAAGTATGCAGTTAAAAGTCCTTTTTCTTTTAAGTAATAAAAGAAACATAATACATGAGTGCAAAGATTTATGAAGGCCCCATAAGTAGAAAATAGAAAAAGACAGAAAGAAAAACTGAGTGAGAAGAGAAACAGAGAATAATATTACTCAAATAAATCAGTGAGAAGAGAAATAGAGAATAATATTACTCAAATATATCAGTTGTTTCGATCATCTTTTAGCCTACAGCAGAGAGATAAGTCTCTTGAGGACTATTATTCTAATATGGTGAGTCTTTCTGAGGAACTTAATATATACCAAACTGTCAACAATGATGTTACAATGATGGAGAACTAGAGAAAAGAATTATATGTAGCTAAGTTTCTTTCAGGAATCAAACCTGAGCATGAATCAATGAGAGATCAGATTTTGGGCAGCCCAGAGTTACCTGACTTGGAGGATATTTTTTCTAGACTTCAGAGGGCCAAGATATCTGAATCCACCTAGTCATCTGATTGAGCAGCACTGGTTGCATCTGGAAGTGGTGCACGAGGTTGTGGTACTTATGGAGGAGGACACGGCAATGGTGGTCGTGGTCCTCCAGGATTTCCAGCTGGTATGGGTTATAGTGGTAGTAGAGGTGAACACGGATGAACAGGAATGGTAATGGTAATCTCTACAATTGGCTATTGTAGAGATTAATATGGGGTCCGGTTTTGCTCACATTGCCATCATGAGGGACATACTGTGGAATATTGCCGGTTGTTGAAGAAACCAGGAAGTTACAATAACCAAGCCACTTATCAAGATGATGCATCATAGTCTCAACTGCAGATGGCTGCTACAAAAAAATCAGCTAGAAGGGGCAGTGTTTTAAAAGCGCGAGGCACAAAAAAAACACAAGGGGCAATTTGTACCCAAGGCGCAAGGTGCAAGGCAAGGCATGCGCCTTTCTGAAGCAAGGCGCAAAAAATTTAAAAAAGGCAAAAAAATCAAAAAAAAATGTCAGAAAATTCAAACAAAATGCCAAAAATCAAAAATATTTAAACATAATATTAATAAAAAATATAAACTTAAATTTTAAAATAAATGTTTTAAAAACCTATTATCCAAAATTAATATACATAAAAATAACAAGTAAAGTGAATTCAAATGAAAATTTAAAAATAAAATCAAACATATAAAACATTTTCAAGCATGTAAAACCCACAATTGCTTTTTTTCCTCAATTGCATTACTTCAAGTAGCTAATGTGATGTAAAACATATTGCATTCCTGATTCTATGAGCTGCCTTTGTACCAAACTCCTCAAGGCAAGCCCAAACAAGTCCATGTTAGGGTCTTCAATTCTTAATTTTCACACAAAAAGTAATGATTTTATAATTTTGATTGTCGTGTATTAGGATCAATGTTTTAAAGCGCGGAGGCATGACACGAGGCATTCCACTACCTAGAGGCGTGAGGCGTAATTCAAAACGCAAGAGGCGTAAGCCTCCTGAACACAAGGAGGCATAAGCCTCCTTAAGAGGAGAGGGGTTAGGAGGAGGAAGGGGAGGAGGATGAAGAAGAAGGGGGGATCTCAGTTTTTCTTTATTTTTAAAAAAAAAAAAAAAAACTTTTATATTAAGAAGAATAAAGATGCATAACATTAGTTGAAAGGGGGTATCTTGTTGAAGCGGAGGCGAGCGAACAAGACCCCCCTAACTCAAAAAAAACAAAAAACAAAAAAAAAAACAAATTGGGCTGCATCGAAAAGGGGGCAGGGGAGTTTGGGGGGCAAAGCCCCCCAGCCGAAGGGATAGGGGCAAACCACTTTCTTTCCCCTTATCTTTTCTTCCCTTCCCTTCCCTTCCCTTTCCTTTTCTTTTCTTTCCTTTTCTCTTTTTTTCTTCTCTTTCTTTTCTTTCCCTTCCCTTTCTTTTCCTTTCCTTTTTCTCTTTTTTCTTTTTTTTCTGTCTTTTTATATAAGATGTGCATGAGGCGTACACCTCATAAAAAAGTGCACGAGGTGTACACCTCTTGCACCTGAGGTGTATTCCTCAAAGGTGTCAGTGCCTCTAGCAGACGCCTTAGGGCGTTTTGGGAGCGCCTCGCCTGAAGGCGCGCCTCCAAGCATACGCCTCCCACGCCTTTTAAAACACTGATTAAGATGAACGAATCAACAACATTAGCAAATAGGGGGTTCTACTCCACTCTGGTTTAAGACCCTAATATGGACTTGTTTGGACTTACCTCGAGGGGCTTGGTCAAGGATCTGGGCACAGAGACCTCGGCCCAACCACTAGGTTCAAAAAAAACAAAAAGAGTAAAAATTTAAAAAGGTGCATGCCTAGGTTGAGTGCAAGGTGCATCAAGCGCACCAGGCATGCACCTTTTGAAAGTGTTGCACCTAGGACCTAGGTGAGGCGCATACCCTAAAATGTGCCTCGCTAGTGCACCTATTTGCTAGGCATAAGGAAGAGTATAATCGGTTGGTTGCAGCTTCATCTTCCACCACTACTACCTCTTGCCCAAACATCAAGTATTGGCGCCACTTGCCTCTCTCTACATCATCATCTCCATGGATCATTGACTCAAGAGCTTCAAATCATATGTCAAGTACTTCATCCATTATTTCTCAATTAACATCTTTGTCTTCTTATGTTACTCATGTTAATGGATATAAGTCTCTCGTATCTGGCATAGGACATGTGAGTCCAATATCCCAACTTTCTTTATCATTTGTTCTATATGTTCCTCGCTTCCCTTTCAATCTTATGCCTGTGAATAAGCTTACAAAGTCACTAAACTGTTTTGTTACCTTTTTCCTTCTTATTGTGTTTTTCAGGACTTAAAAACAAAGAGGCGGATTGGTGGAGGAGTTGAATTCGGTGGTCTTTATTACCTACAAGGTGGCTCTCCTTTTCAACTTCATTGCCAATTGGGTCATCTTTCATTGTTGAGTCTTCGTGTCATGGTTCCTTCACTTCCATGCAACACTAGTTTTGATTTTTGAGTGCAATGCATGTCAGCTTAGCAAGCATCATCAGTTTGTTTTCCTCCTCGATCTATGAGTCGTGTGTCCAAACTGTTTCAATTGGTTCAATCGAATATTTGGGGCCCATGTCCTGTAATGTGTTATTTGAGGTTCAAGTATTTTGTCACTTTTGTTGATGGTTTTTCGAGTCTTACTTGGTCATATTTGTTAAAGGAGAGGTCCAAATTATTTTCTGTATTCAAATCCTTCTTTATGGAAATGAAAACCCAGTTTGGCTCCACTATTTGTGTTCTTCAATCTGATAATGCTAAAGAATACATCTTTCACCATTTACTGAATTCTATAATGAGCATGGATTCCTACATCAAACATCTTGTGTTCTTACACCACAACAGATTGGTGTAGCTGAACACAAAAACCACCATCTGCTAGAAGTTACATGGGCTCTCCTTATTCAGATGCATGTGCCAAAAATTTATTGGAGTGGTGCAGTCCTTATGGCCTGTTATCTCATTAACTGAATACCTTCATCAGTCCTACACAAAAAGATACCTCATTCCGTACTATTCCCTGATGCTCCCTTGCTTAATTTACCACCTCGCATTTTTTGATGTGTTTCCTTTGCTCACCTCTTTGATCGTCAACATAACAAGCTTGAACCCTGAGCGGTAAAGTGTTTCTGTTTGAGATATTCAAAAACTCAAAAAGGGTACAAATGTTACAGTCCTCTCTCATCACTTTGTTATTGATGATATTCCTTTCATGAGTCCATTCCATATTTCTCTTCTAGTACTTCTCTTCCTTCTCCTCAAGGTGATTCTCTCCCTCTTCCTGTTCCTTTTTATGACTCTTCTCCATAGCCCACCAGTACTGTTATACCTAGGCCACCTATTCAACAGATATATCTACAGTCTCTGTCCCTAATACATGAAGACTTGTCTGATCCTGGGTGGAGGATAGCTATGGAAGAAGGCATGTTGGCTTTTCATCAAAACAACACACGGGATTTAGTTTCTGGTAAGCAACATGTGGGATGTCAATGGGTATATGCTGTGAAATTTAATCCTGATGATACAAAGGATAGACTTAAAGCTTGTTTAGTTACTAAAGGGTTTAGTCAAACTTATGGTGAGGATTTTGAGGAACTTTCTCTCAGTTGCTAAGATCAACTTTGTGTGTGTTGTTATCTCCTTAGTTGTGACTAATCATTGGCCCTTATATCAATTAGATGTTAAGAATGCTTTTCTGCATGGTGATCTTATGGAAAAAGTATACATGGATCAACCACCTATGTTTGTTGCTCAGGGGAGTATAGGAGTATGGTTTGCAGGTTAAATAAGGTGTTGAATGGTCTAAGACAATCTCTACGTGCTTGTTTTGGCAAGTTCAATTAAGTGGTTGTGGAATTTGTCTTACATAGATGCCAGTCTGATTATTCTGTACTTAGCAAGACTTATAGAGATGGTATCATTATCCTTGTTGTTTATGTAGATAACATCGTTACCACAGGGAGCGACTCATAAGGCATCAATGAATTGAAGCGCTTTCTACAAGAAAGATTTCATACTAAAGGCCTTGGCAAACTGAGATATTTCCTTGGCATAGATGTTATGAGATCAACCACAAAGATCTCTCTGTCACAACGTAAATATACGTTGGATTTACTTGAGGAGACAGGTATGATGGGAAGTAAACTGGTTGCTACACCCATGGATCCTAATGCTAAACTTATTTCAAATCAAGGGAGTTAGTAGACGATCTCGGGCAGTACAGGAGACTTGTAGGGAAGCTAAATTACTTGACTATTTTACTTGTCCAGATACCTGTTTTGCAGTGGTGGTTGTACGTCAGTTTATGAGCTATCCACGTGTTCCTCACCTTGAAGTTGTGTACAGAATCATAAGGTATCTTATGGGATCACCAAGTATGGGGATTAT